CGTAGGTGAGGAAAATTCTTCACAGTTAATTTTCAGGCCTGTAGACCTTTCACCACATTGGATCCATGCTGCAGACAGCACACGCGGGCTCAATAACACTGAGCAGGTCTGGGTCATTTGTATGCCACTGAAATGCTTTTGTGGCGCATGATGGTGGTTTCAGTTATAAGCCATTAGACCTCCCATCTCCCTCTGACCTGTACTGCTGGGATTGAAGCAAGTGGACCTTGCGTGCACATCCAGGGGCACTGGAACTGCTCCAGCACCAGGTCCAGAACCATTGCAATGCTGCCTTGGCTTTTCTAATATGTGTTTGAAATCACTCTTAATTATGTGCACGAGAAATAATCAATCACGAAAGTGCATAGCTTTCCTCCCCCGAGAAAATGTACCACAGTTATTTTGCTTATTGGATTTTGTAGCTGATGTAACTATTGTTAACAGAAAAGGTAGTGAATGTAGAAAATATTATTTCCTTCTCCTGAGCGTTTAGTATAACAATATAAGCATTGACCGTTGTGTACTTTGGTATTATTTTCCTTTCCTGCTTATAGTCCCTTCTCATGTTTCTTCATCATTTTAGGCCCCTAATAGGGATAGGATGAACCCATTGATGTCGGCACATGGAGGCCTGCTAGTAGCATGCCTTTGGTTTTAGTCTCCTAGCAGCAGCCATTCATGTTATGTGGGCTTTCTTTTTTGGGCATTGCCCACCCCTGAAACTGACTTCAGGCATTTTTCACTGCCTGTTCTGCATGAATAGCCACAGGCCTCTTGCCAATTGTCCCCTCTTCTTGAAAGCCAGCCTCAGCCAAAGGCCTTTTCAAGTGTGATCCCAGAGTGCCACACAGGCTTTCAGGGTATTGTTGTTGAGATGAGGGCCCTGCACTGGAAAGTGGGGTCAGAAGAGAAAGCACAATGAGGGGTGATGGAGGCTTCATGCAGTCCTCAGATGCTGGCCTGTTTATTAATTTACAAAACTAATGTCACTGTCTTTAGAGAAGAGATTGAGTGAAAAAGATGCCCTTTGAAGAGAACTGCTTTTGATGCATTACCAAAACATCGGTTGCCTTATTAAATAGATTTTATGGAAGCAAGTACAGCTAATAAAAGTTCAGAAACACCAGTAAAGTACTGAAGGTCTGGACTCAGTGTTTTCTATTTTTCCCCGTCAGCTCAAACACAATTCATATTAATGGGTTTTACAAGTTGTCCTTGGGCAAAAAATCCTTACATATAATGGGTACAAATATCTGGTCTCCCTTACGCATGTCACAAAAACTATTAGCCAAGACAGGAAAATAGTGCCAGCTCTTTAACAGAGCTCTTCCCCATACATAACATCATGAAATATTCAAGTAGAATTTCTTACCTTTTGGAGCTTAGGGAGGTGCTTAGGGAGGTCTATGAATTGGACCATAGTATACACAAACGGTGCAACTAATGAGAGTTTTCAGTGCTGCTGTTGGCGCATATTAGGGGATTCAGGAAAACAGTTCTCGATTTGCTAGTTCCTGTAACATCAGATGGAGTCCCATTGCCTAGAAGTACATAATGTTTACCTTGCAGCTTTTAATCTGAGAATGACCTTGGGACGAAATGCAGCTCTTTGGCATACCTGTTCTTCCTTTCTCCCATATCTGATTAAAAAAGTTTACTGTATCCCTTCACAATGGTTTGCACAGTGGTTTGATTTTGCTTACTTCGGGCTGCTAGCTCTTTTTCATTGTTCTCCTACCTGTGAACAAAAACACAGAGACTGCTGTCTCCACGTTGGGGCAACTCACCAGCCACTGCATCATATGGGATTGAACAGGAGTTGGACTAGATGGCCCTCAGAGGTCCCTTCCAACTCTAAGGATTGTATGATTCTATGAATCATGTTCTCTTATTGCATTAAGAAACTAAACCAGAACAAGTGTGTTTATCTGCAAATGGCTTACTGCTTCCTCAGGGGTTTGTTGTCAGAAGCTACTGGAGATTTCTGACCACTATCGTTGTGGATACAATTTAGGATTAAATATAGGGACCTTCAAAGCCACAAGTATGAAACTCTACAGCTGAAACTAAAGACAGTCATTAGATTTGTAACCTTGGTAAGCTGGATGCAGAAGGGAAGCATTCCAGTCTGACCAGTAGGTTACAAATGCAAGATTAGGATTCAGTTTTAAACATGTGGCCATAAATGTATGATTGAATTTTAAGTGCTTTCAATTAATGTAGATCAAAAGAGGATTTTGTAGTTGGACAAACTTTCAGAAGTACCAGACTATAAGCATAAATCTGTCTAGTCCCTTTGTTTTCCATAACTTGTCTTGCCATGTTTGTTAATTATGGAAGGCATTTAGGACTTGCTCTGTCTCATCCAGTTTCTTCTCTTCTTCAGTGCTCCAGCAGTTAAGTCAGCAGTTTTACACTCCACTGCCCTGAACCTTGAAAGTCATTTATGGACAGCAAGTGGATGCAAATTGCTAATGGTAGCACTTTAAGTCTCTGTATGCAAGGCATTGGAGATTGATCCACGGAACAAAAATAATCATAACCTAATCACCTTCCTGGTAGCGGAAAATAATTCAAAGGATTGTTGACCCTTCTTTAAATGATAATACAGGACAAATAGGTTTCTGATGAGGGAAGCTCTTGACTGAAAGCAAATACTGTAGGTCACCCAGAATGATAAATATTAGTAACTTTTAATGAACATTTGGTTCAGTTTTCATCTGTACTGTAGACACTACAGCTCACAGATCCTCAGAGCTTCAACATCAGTCTGTTATTTTATCAAATACATATGCTCACAGTAGTATATTTGGTTATTAATTTGATATCATCAAGTGTTTATTCACTCAGCAGAACACTGAATGACCGATTTGGGGATGTATAGTTGATTTTTTACAAATGACTTTTCTTTGTATATCTTCAAACACAGAATTCTGTGAAGAATCAGGAAAATGGTTAGTGAATAATTTTGTGGGGTTTTCTTCGTTGTTTGTAATAATCTTGCGTAATGTTGTGCTTGTAAATATCTATAAATTCAAAAGCTTGTGAAGGGCTTTTGCATACATCATTTGCTGTCTGAAGTTGGCAGATTTGAAAACATCTTCTTGAAGCAAATTTATGAGGCAAAATTATCCATCTTCTTGTGGTACTTTCACGGTTAGAAGTCTGAAAGTCAGGGTAGGTAAACAGACCAAATATCTTGGTATAAGAATAAGTCACGTCTTTCTTCTATGAAAGAGTGTAAAAACAAAAATGTTGCTAACCTGAAAGTGCTCCAATCAAGGCTGAAAGCAATTAACTGCAGGTTTGATGTGAAACAGTGTCTTTGCAGAAGAGCATACCTCCAGTGCACTAAGTAGGTGGGGAACAGCTCTGCAGCCTGTGGCGAGGCGTCCATCACTCTCAATCAATTCAGGACTTGTCTGTACAAGATCTGTTTGTTTTGGCTTTGGGTGAAGGAAAGGATTTGTCCTCCATATATAAACAACCACAGATAATAGTATGTCAATAGATATATTCCCATATTTACCTTTTAAAAATTAAGCAAATTAACCTCAATAAAAATAGTGAGACATAAATATGGAAGGTTTCTCATGTATTGTTTTCCTTTTCCTTCCTTATGAACACCAATAAATGATCAGAGTACGCAGGAAAGCTATGCTGGTGAACTTGGCACTCATGGCAGAGATAAGCAGTCGTGACCAGGTCAAGAAAAATACCCAGTATGGGGAAAAGTTTTATGATGGCCCAAAGGCAGTGATGGATTTAAAAAAAAAAAAAGAACAAAAGGTGTCTGGTAAAGATAGGAATATGAGTACTTCTTAAAAGAGGTTCAGCATTTTGGTTCAGATAACAAGCTAAGCAGATTATCTAAAGTTTCTGAAGTTCTCTAAATCCTGCTGAGGTAAAACTCAAGCAGCAGCCTCATGAGAACAAAATTTCACATGACATTTCAAACTTCTGCTTCTGGTTCATTTAAAAAATAAAACAGAAGTGCAAGAATAAAATACCTTCTTTAAAAAGGAAGTTAATGCAACATGCTTTATATCCAACAGTTAATTTTGTTTAACTCGAAGTTTAGATGTGATTTTGGAGCGCCTTAAGCTTATTTAATGCATTATCTTCTCTCTAAGCGGGGCTTTTTTTGAACTACCTGGAAAATATCTATACCAGATCCCAAAGCAGTACACTGTAGGGTTAACACTAAATAGTGTTAGCAGTGCAAATTTTCACATCTCTCTTTTTCTTTTTGGAACTTTTTCTTCCTTCACAGTTATTTATTATCCGAAGGAAAAAGAAGAGGAGAAAAAGGACAAGTCAAAATATATTTTTACGAAAAAAATAAATAGATCTATCTTCCTTAATCAGATTCTATTTTCTTTTCACTCCACAAAAGTGATAAACTGCCAGAGAAAATCAGGTTAGAGGAGGAGCAGGGACATTGTGCTATCTGCACATAAGAGATTTGGAACGAAATGGTCAAGTTATGAGAGACATACCCTTGTATTTTGCAATGGGAAGATTATAGTGTTATTGAATTAGGTGCTGGAGACTCCGTGAAATCCTTCTATAACATTCTGGAGACTATTTAACTTTTCTTAATTTAGAATTATGTTATATTATCCTTCATGTAATGAATATGAACTCTCCCATGAAAAATGTCTGTAAAATATGGTCCTCATTTAGTTGCCCAAATGACAGCCGCTCTATTTTAAAAACTCAACTGTAATTGTTGGGAGTCTGAAAAAGTCTTAATTTTGCTTTTGAATCACTTTAGACTGCACCCTTACTCTTCTTGTGGGAGTCATTTACTGACTCCTACCTTATTTCTTCTGTCTCTCTTATTTATGCTGAAGGAGTTCCTGAGCACGAACGGCAGATAGGCTGGGGCAGAGTTTCGTTCGTGTATGAACTGATTTCTCCTGCTATTGTTTGAAGTTATGACAGCAAACTTTTTCATCTCAATGAGACTTATTTTCTGTTTTTTTCTTTTATTTCAGAGAGTAGTCTGAAAGGATTAGAAGATCGAAGGGAATGGAAGCTTTCAGAGGGAGGAAGGTATGGTTTCAATTAATATTCTGCTTTATCAGAATCAGGAGTTTCACTATAATATGCTAATTGTGCCAGGATTTGGATTTCAGGCTCAGGTTGTGTCTGATCAGGGAGAAGTACAGCTAACTTACATAAAAGCTTGTGTGTTTCATTTTTAGGACAGTACAAATTAATTTTCAAAATATTTCAATGTTTTTGTTTTGATTTTACTGCAAAACAAAAAAAACAGTATCAGGGATTCAAAACTCTCATCAAAGAAAATGCGTTATTCCCTGCCTATTTCTTTGACAATTATGAACATGGAAATCACAGAATCTGTCTCATTACCGTGGTATTATTTCTCCCTTCCTAGTTCCTCCATTCTAGAAGCGTGTCTGATCTGTAAATCTTTAAATGGTAATAAAATTAGGAGTAGGATTTCTGTGTGGTCCCTGCACCAGCGCTGGAGAACTGATCCAATACAGCTAATCATCTCAAATTTAATGAATGTCCTGCTGACTTTTAAAGAAACTGGGTGCCTGACTACCCTCTCAGACTTTAAAAGTCTCCTGTTTCAGTCGGACTTTTTCAGGAAACCAGATTGAGCAAGTCCATGCAGAAAATGCCACTGCTGTTCCTACAGGTTTCCACAAGACATTTGACCCCTCCCTCCCTTTCTTCCTTCTTTTTATACCTCTCTGGAATGCAGATATTTTGGCTAATTTTCTCCAGCTGTCACATAGTCTCACAGGAAAATGACCTCGCAGAGTGACCACTTCCCCTAGCCCTTGACTTAAGTAGAGTTTTTTGCAGAGCTTTCACCACATCATCCACATCACTCTCTGGCGTCTTTCATGAGTCAGGAAAAAAAGCAGGACAAAAATTCACCCTTTAAAAAAAAAAAAAAAAGAAACTAACCAGATCAGTTTGAATGATTTTTATCCATTGCTATTTCAAATCAGTTTGTGTAGCAGAAAGTTAACATTAAGGATTCCCACTAAAGGGTAGAGAAATATTAGCGTTTGGATACCTTCCTTATAATTTGCTTTTCAGCATGCAATTATTTGATGCATTTAGTATCGACAGCAGTGTCAGCAAATTTGAGAATCAGCCCTCTTTATTCTGTTATTCTTTTAAATGTACTCTCCAGAGAGAAAAATGTTATTGTAGAAATCACGATTCAAGTTTAGTTTTTTGAAAAAGCACAATGAAAAAAATGAACAAAATGCAATACAATAAGTACTTATGGTGTATGAATGATGGACATGAGATGCAGGTATATGAGAAGCTAACGGTACATTAAGTGCCATTATAACAATAGGGACATTTTGCGACATGAAAAATTTACAATTTGTTGGCTTCTTTCGCTCTTGAGGTAAATTATATTTTCTCTTCAGTATTATTCTTCCATGGAAGTTGAAGTTAATGGGCCTCTTGTTAAACACAGCTTTCCTCGTCCTCTGAGTGCTCTCTGTAGTTACCAGGATTAGCTGGTCCGTATAGCTTGTACAATCCCAGTGATTTCCAACCATAACTTTTCTCCAATGGTATTCTTTACTTCCTCACATTTAGATAATTTTTATACTTTGAGTTCCTCCTGTATTTCATCTTGAGTTTTAAATATCTGATGAGAAGAAAAGAAAGATGGAGACTGCACATAGACTGCAGTCTTTACTACAGGTGACTGAAATCTCTGAGCTCTCTAAAGATCGTTTTTACAACTGGGAGAAAGTAGTTAATTCCCCTGCTGTATGAAACCAACATGGAGCAGTTCGACACATTTGATATTTCCTATTTTATGTTTTGAATGAGCATCCCAATGTCTTGCTATTTTCTGTAGCCGTTTGGGAAGTGTCTTCCAGGTAATATTAGTGAACTTTGTGTGTCTTGGTATGATGTACGAATGCTATATTGAGACTGCTCAAGGTATGTTGTAGCTGTGTTTTGTTTCTCTAATATTCTAAAGCTAGTGTCACTGTAGTTTTTTGTAACATACACTTCGAAATATTTTACTTTAATTTTATTCTTTGGAGATTGATTACTTGGTATGATCTCCAGCAGCCTAGGCATTTTAGAAAGAGATTGAAGGAAGATATTATTGGTTAGTGGTGTCAGATAGGTTCCCCAGTATAAATATAAGCCAACAAAGTCAGGTTCTAAAATCAGATTACCTTTGTGCATTGTCAAGACTTCAGCCTTTTCTGCCCACATGTAGAATAAATGCCTGTCAGGGTAATGAGTTTGCATATTTGAAACAACAGATGTGTGGTTTAAGGCATTGTGAGTGGACTGTAAAAGTTATTGTGGCATGGATCTGGTATGGGATGAATGGGGCTGGGGCTAGAAAATATTTGATCATCTCTCAAAAACTATCACAGAGGAACTGAACTAGGGTAAGAAAAATTGTTGTGTAACTGTCAAATACTTGTTTTTATAATGCTATTGATGGCTCTAGGCTTTGCATATAACCTATAAATCATTATTTGTATCTGTGACTATATATTGCAAGAATGCTTCAACTTTGTATTGAATCATTCTAGTTTATGACAGTCTTTCTCCTCTTCATTGCTATAGACCACAGTAATGGATGAGAAAAATAGCTTTGTTCAGTAACACACCCAGCTGGATCACAGACAGCTAGTTAAATAAGCTTGCAAGTTGATGTGTGACTTTGGCACTGCTGCTCAGGTTGAGTGTAGTCAAATGGACTGTTTCAGCTGCTGCTGATTCATGTTCCTGTCTGCTCCAACCACTTTTCTTCATTCATTCCTGTAACCTCACAGCTAGAACAAGATTCTGCCAAAATATGTAGCAAAAATGGGGAAGTAAAACTGAAGCGGGATGGCAATACCATTGCTGCAAGATTGTGAAGGGTCATAAAATCTTAGGCTGGAGTTAGCTATGGCCTAAACACTGTAGGATGTTCAACTGTGGTCTTAGGGATGTTCAGTCGTGCAGTGATCCCACTTGCTAGAGATGCTATCTCAGTTGCAGATATAAAGGCATGCACTTTTGGATCAACACTGTGATCCTGCCATGACTTGGAAACTGAAGTGGCCATGCAGGCTATTTTGTAAATTGGGAACAAGTGAGCAGGAGTATGCTTAAAAACTCCATACATCATTCTTCCACCTGCATTTATACCGAACTGGCTTGACTTGATGAACAATCTCTTTTATTTCAGTGGAAATTCTTTTGGCGTGAGTTTTGACTGACGCAAATAAAAATGATAGTATCTTTTCTTTAGTGATTCCTCTTTGCATGAGCTGATTTTTCACAGCTAAAACCTTTGGAATTCAAGAAATCTGATAAGAAGGTTTTCTGAATCCTTACAGCCTTAATCACAGAAGTAAAAGAGAATGGTACTAATGGCATAATGGTCTTATATTCATGCCCTGTTCCAAATATTTGCTTTACCCAGTATGCAAATACTGCTATTAATAATAATTTTAATAACATGGATGATAGATAAGATAGCTGTTTTCTTGGAATTAGTATGTGTAAGGTATTACTTCACCACTCAAAGGGAGACGCACAACTTCCATCTGGCAGTTTTTTAAACATCAATCAATTTAAAAACAAATGGTCTTAGTAAATTGTTTAGCCTTGAAGGTGAATATTGTGTTTATAAAATGAAAATGTTCTTTGCAGCCTCTGTACACGTATGATTACATAAGCAGCTCCATGTTTATTTAGATGGAGTATTTGCACAGGATATTTCAAACTCTAAAAATTCTTGGAGGAAAAAGGGATGAACCAGAAGACAAATACCATATTCCAACAGATAAGTATTTCCTCATATGTATCTGATTCAGAAAAAGACTTCAGTGTATGTTTAACTTCAAGTACCTGCTCAGGTCTCACTGGGTTTAAACATGCACTGACCAAGGATGCTTTTTCAAATAGAAGCAGTATGTTGTTCTAGTGAAGTCTATTTGATTTGCCAACTGCTCAGATCTCCTCCTGAACATGTGGTTGATTCTTTAGAGTAGCTCTTGCTTCCAAAATTGACTTTGCATTTTGTGATTTGAAGTACAGTCAGTGCTAAAGTATTCTTCCTATCAAAATAAACAAATGTAGCTTAAGGAGGCTGCAGTCCTCTTTTGTAGCCTATAGCAAGTTAACAAAACTTTAACTGTGACATTTTTTGTATCATCCCTTTTCTTCTGTCTTTTCTGTCTGACCACTGTGAAGGCCAAGGAATTCTGGCTGCACAAATACAAGAGAAGTTGCTTTATTACGAAGGAGAACAAAGTTGTTGAGAGTGACTAGGTCGTATTCTTGTCAATCTCCTGTACTTAGTCTCCTTTCAGCTTAGTTTTTGGTGACAAACTCACAGCTATAATGCCTGCCTTACATTTACCAGCCTGCATATATGAAAGATGTGTAATGTTAACTAAGCCCTTTCCCGTCTTGGAAGACCACCCTGCCTGCAAAATCCCAAGAGGAAAACACAGCATGTCCTGATCAGAAACTGCCTTTGTTGGCAGAAATACAGTATGTTGCATTAACCAAAACAGCATTTTTAAAAAATTTTTGATGGTGGCTGCTTTTTATTTAAATATTCATTCTGCTTTTGTAAATGGATCTCATTTGGTCCTTATATCCTGACATCACAGGACTATCTGAAAGCCTTGTTTACATTTAGCAGTGGAAATTACTTCAAGGCTTGCACAAAACCTTCAAAACCTGATACACTCAGAGCAGGAACAAGACTGGATTCTCCTTAGCAAACCTCTAGACAGCAGTTTTCTCTGGGATGAACTTTCTGATGATGAAGCATGCCTCATCTTTCTTCCCCACTGACAGTGCAGCTTTTCTCCTGGGTAGGAGCTGGTGTGCTGTCAGTGCAAGCTCCAAGTGCAGGCTTCATGGATGAGTAGCCACCCATGCCAGCAGTGTAGAGCTCGAATCCTCTGCCACTGTCATTCTGGTTATGCTGGTGGTCATCTGTAGCTGTTAGGGAGCAAAAGCCGCTTTCAAAACTTGTTCAGCCTCTCTGATATTGACTTCTGTGCATTGTTCTG